AACAAATAATAATTGTCAGTAAGAATACTGGTGAGCGTGTTGATCCATTAAGATTAGAGAAAGGAGGTGGTAAGAAGTCCATATTATGAGGATAATGAATAAAAGATATCATTTGACATCATCATCATCATTATTATTATTATTGCCTTTGACTTCTGTAGTATACTCATTCCCTTCTGGATCCCAACCAGAGACCCTAAGGCCCAGAAATGAAGACATTTGAAGAACATTTCGTACATAAAAAAAAAAAGAAAAATTTTTCGTACGATCACACATATTTTACATAAAAAAAAAAAAATGGGCTAAAGGAATCCTCTTCAATGAGCCTATCAATTTTTCCAATTAATCAACTACAAATGGAATTATTGATGTCATTGCGTATATTTTTAGATCTCCTTCAATAATAATAATAATAATTTGTAACAATTTTATGGGACTGCACTATAAACACAGACAAGAACAATCAAAGCTAATCGCCCTGACATCGTGATTAGAGTGCAAAACAAAAATTGCCTCATTATTGATTTTGCAGACTACATGCATCTTTGAAGATCTTCAAAAGCTACCAGAATACAAGGATCTTAAAATCGAAATTCAAAAATATTCCTGAGAACATCAACAATTCCAGTTGTCGTTGGAAGGAAATACAAAACATTTCAATAGACTCATTGAAGGGATTGCAAGCCCACACCTTAAAAGAAATACAAAACATTATTCTCGAAGGGCCCACCTTACGAAGGGCTTTATTTATATAAAATATGTGTTTTTTTTTAGGGGGTTTTTGTTTTTTTTTTTTTTTTTAATTGCTCAGTGGAAAATATCATGATGTCATTTCTGACCTTGGGTTTCTAGGCGTGACCCGGAAAGAAATGAGTACACGCCAGAAATGAAAGGAAATAAAACAACAACAACAACAACAATAATAATAATAATAATAAATGTTCTGATGTTACTTGATTCATGGCTCTCATGGCTTGTGATCTTAACTTTTTGTAGATGTTAACATGTCCTTTTTTTTTCTTGGGAAATTAAGATGTGTTAAAGTAAATATCCTGTTCAGTATCACATATTTGCCTGACCCTAACCTGTTGGCCATGTCCCTTACAGTGATTTTTGGCCCAGAAACAAACCTAATGATGTAGTATCATAGATGGGTGTCGAGAGGGTTGGTCTTATTTCAAAAAAATAATTTAAGTTATACAACAAAGTCAGCATATATTGGACTTTGTATATTTGTACTTCACTGTTACTTTGGTGACGTTCTGTTCATTGATTCAATCAATCAATCAATCAATCAATAATAAAAATACAGAAAAAAACTCGCCAATAAGATCTA